TCGTGATCAGTGGGGGAGGTCAATGTAAACACAGTGCTGGGATCTAGCAATCGGGTTTCTGAAAGGCAGCAGACATCAATAACGGGGGACTCTAGGGTGCGCACTAGACCGGCTTGATGTCCAATCTACTTGAGTGTCCGAACGTTGGAGCACACCAGACGGAACGAGGATCGGGGACGAACGAGAGCCATATGTTGAACTCCGTGGTTGGCAGCGCGACCGGAATCGCAGCCAGATTGTTGAACACATGAATCAGGTAACGGAATGTATGGATTGTTCGCAAACATACAATTGGCGTGTGATGAAGTCGCGTGAATTTGAGAAGCAGAAACGGTAGCTGATGTGCACGTTGTAGTACAGACCATGGTTTCGTGAGAGGGCGTGATACTACCCGTTTGCTCAAGCAGAAGTAGGGAGTTAACTTAGAGGTCCCCACCCCTGGTCTTTCGCTAAATAACCTACCCGCAAGACAGCGGGTAATCGCGCTCATTGGGAGGCGCTGACTGAATGTTTGTTTTATGCGTCCCGTTTGGTAGATCACCAAACAGGGGCCAAATGCTCCTGATGAAATCAGCACAATTGCTGGACAACAATGCCCCACCGAGGTGGAACGCTATCGCCGAACACTTCGCTGGAACGGGGTACACCCGATCCACCCAGATGGCACCGCGAGGAGGTAGTTTGGCAAGCCAGCCTGTTGACACTGAAGGGATAACTTATTAACAAAATCGCCCATGGGTGTGGAGACAAACGAGCACTTACTAGTGTCGTGTCACTGCCACACTTGGGATCCTCCTAGTTGGAACGATATTTGTGTTTAGTCATTGACTGTGATAGAAGTAAGCAACCATAAAACATTCGTTGTTAAGCTTCAAGTTGGTCTACCTAATGGTCGTCGCAATAACAATCGCACAAAATTATCCAACCGCCTAGCAGCCATTGCTGATTCAGTTTAGGGTGTGCAATGTCCTAGCCATGGCGCATGCCTAACCAACCGCAAATGCAAGCCTGGCTGACTCCCTCAGACCTAAGGGACTGCGGAATACCAGTTGGAAAAATGCCTGTCTACGCGACCATCGTAAGCATGACGAGGCCGCTGAAATAAGCCACCACGATGTAGCGGCTAACGATCAATAAATATAGACCGCTTCATGGGGTGGTTTGCATGTCCGTCCGCATTGGCTACAGTGTAAGCTTCGGATCATGTGGTAGATAGGATCTCCTCCTTATACAGGCATCACAAGTTGCCCACTGGACGGTTTCAGTTTGGGGTTTCCTTCAGACACGCATCAGGGCAGCACAAAAGTTGTGCTCCAACACTTTCATTGGATTGTCTGTCGCTTATGCTCGAGGCTTCCAACCAGTGTCCCATTGGCTAACGCCCCATGGCCAATGAGAGTGTCAACAACGCCAAAACAGCGTTCTCAGACTCGCGAATTTAAATACACAGCACGCGATTTCGAAAATGTGCTACGCTAAAAGCTTGGTACAATGCGCTAACATGCCTGTAAAATGGTGTAGATCTAACCTATTCAGATTGGAATCATCTCTACATATGTCACACGTCAGCTCTGGGCTGACAGTCGATCTAGTGGAACCTGCGTACGGACATGCCCCCCCCCCACAACAAAACGCGCAAATTCGAGATTTCCTGACTTCTGTTGCTTTTTTATTCTGGGTGATAAAAAGTAAAATTTTAATTCTAGACAAATTGAGACACGCCTTTACAAGCATGAGCATATAGAGATAACAGAGCGTGATTAAACCTGTACAAAAATGCTACGTGTTTGCCTTATCAGTGAATGTTTGTGAGGGTGTATGGATATATATGTATCTGCGTATATGTGTTTGTGCTTGTAAGTGTGCCGTTGCATTCTTAACTTTTTGATGTCGTCGGCAATGTGAGGATAGATGATTGATGTCCGTGAGTTGGATAGGATTATCCGGATGTTAACGAGGCAGTTTGTGGCGAGTCACCACCGCCACGTCGCAGTGTTGATAAACGGACATTTGTGGTCTATAGGGAGAACGCTTGCCTAGGCCGAAACCCACCACGTCCCGGAACACTGCCGCCGAACTATTAGCGGGAACCTGTTAAACCCGAAACACCGAACTGGCACTACTAGGAGGTTTTTCGGCTAGCCAGACAGGCTTCGATTAATGCCTCAAACGCATCACATGTGAAACGCCGTCGACACGGTTTGTGTGTGCAACTCTAGTGATCCGAGCAGAGAGTGAATTTTTGAAACTTAGTTTAATATTTTTGGTGCACAGATCATCAACGGCAGCAATGCATCAGCCATTGGTGCTCCGCCCAGCCAGCAACACTCCTAAATCGTGCCTGACTGAACACCTTAGCGTTAATCGAAATTATTATCAAAGAGATGATGGATGCGCGTTGTTTGACAGCTGATGGCTACCTGGTACTGCTCACGTCTGGTGAGTGGACATCGCTGAACCCCGTCAGTTGATGCTCGGCAGCAAAATCTATGGTACCGTGATCACATTGGACGGGTTCTTCACACATCCGCCAGCTGACTGTCTAGGCGCGCATTGTTTGCCAATACTACATCTGGTCTGGTGAAACCTCTGTGTGGTGAGTCAATAGAGTGGCACAGAACATGCATAAACTTGCAAAAAGGTTTAGTTAAGTAGGTAACCCCTCAGATACGAAATCCGCGGTGCAAATGCGTTCGTTCCATTAATACAATGTCTTGATTCTTCCCCATCGGATGGACTTAAATTTTTCGCTCCTTATTTGTCACTACATTTTTTCATGACGAGCGTCATAGCGGGTACTGTGGAGAACAATGGGGAATGTTTCAACTCGTTCGAAGCTGATAATTATAGCAGCCCCCATCACTAAAGCAATCGTGAGAAGGGATTACTTACTTCATTCGCAGTTCTCACGTCTTCCACCATCCGTTAGTTCCAGCAGGGACTGGCACCTTCGAAAGCAGTACGCTCAGTAATGTTAGACCACACCATTACGTGCACCTCACCGTGTTTTTGTCTCGGGCCTCTACGTGCGTAATGCATTACTTAGACCTGGCATAACGTTTGTGGGTCCACAATTGCTTGTCTAGATCGTGTACTCTTTAACCTAATCATTAGCTATATAAAGGAACCTGCTCGCGTATCACTGTAGACTTAGATGTTCCGCGAGGGTCAGCGTTGCGGCCGCGCTTACTCTTGGTCTTCATTAACGACTTCGCGCTTGTCATCTTGCTTTACTTATTCTCAGTGGCATCAAAATATGGCAAGCGAATGGTTGTCAGGACGATCAGCGTGACTTTTAGACTGCGCTGTTGAATGGTCAATGGCAAATCTACTTCCGTTTAACATCGACAAGTGCAAAACTGTACATGTACGCCACAAATCCACCAACGCATGGAGACATTGTCCTTAAGACCGCCTCACAGGACTGCGACCATGGGGTGATGATTTTAGCCCACATCGGTTGTTCGGTGCAGTTCTTGAAGGCATCCATAACGCTAGCCAACATGTTGGTCTCTTACGGAGGGTATTCGGGAGGTTAGGTCCCTTCACTTCCTCCAAATGCTCAATGCGTATGTGAGACTTCATGTAAAGTATGCGATCCAGACCCGGCTACCTTGGTTAAAACGCGCCCCAGCGAGGGGCAACCAAAATGTGAAGGGATTGTTCCACTTGCCATACCATCTGCGACTGAAAACCCTAGGTGTACAGCGAAAGTTATCGCCGTCTACGGTGCGACCACATTCTAGCGTAGCAGATCTTGATGAGCATCGGTCATGCTTGCCGCCACCTCCTGAAACTAAGTCGAAACCCGAAATTGTGGTCACCAGCTGAAACTGATAACCCGATACAGTCGGCTGGAATATTTTTCACTTCGAATTTGTCAACTGTGGGACGCCCTTTCGACCTTTGTCATTCCTGCGCCTACGTTACCTATAAAAAGACGACTCGATAATACATTACACCACCTGCATTACTTGATTTGATTTCTGTCCATTGAATGACAAGACGCAGACAAATATTGCTCATACCAACCCCACGAAACCGGGGTAGTTAGATATACATGCGTGTTTACGTGGATAATATGATGAATTCACAGGTGCGCACTTCATTTTAGTGCAACTACTTTTTTGGTACTTACGTAACTCACGCAGGCCACTTCACGGGAACTGCCAAATCTTGCCTATTTTATCCGTATTATATTATTGTTCCAACTGTTGTCCATGCTCACGAGCTACGCCTTTGCTCAAATGATGTCGTCACCTTGGTTTTGAGTGGTTGTTCATCATTCTTGATTTTTCACTGTTGCCTTAAATCTTAGGTTCGTAACTTCACACGACACCAGTTTACCTCTCATCAGAACGTTTCGTTGTGAAACGGTGCACATACAGTGCGGAAAATACATTCCATTCCCGGAAATAATGACACCAATGCGAATTCCTAACCTGACCAAACACTATCGCTGACGATTCGCAATAAAATATTTTGATTTTTCATAATTCGATAATCGTACAGAAGCTTTTCTACTTGCTCTTAACAACAGTCTCAGAGAGCACCGTTTGCTCGTTACTATTTTCGCATCAGGTTTTTGTAAAATGCTGTAACTTTTCCTTCATATATGGTTCACCAACAGCAATAAATCGTTCACAAAATCCACGACGCTCAATTGTTTGCACGTGCTCGTCACTCATCTTGCGCTGCGTGCTGTGTTAATTGGATGCACTTATTACTGGTCGCATGCTTACCATCCAGCTGAATCTTGCTCAGAACCTTGCTGACACAGTGATTATCTCGAACATTTCTCTTTTCTTCACGATGATTTGAGCTCAGGTCGATTCTTTTCTCGACTCTTCCAATCTTGGTCCAATCTCAGAATTGCAAGTGAAGCATCAGTGTTGCTTGCATTTTGGGAAGCGGATTGAACATCGGCTATCACACACTCTGTGTGCACACTCATTAAACGTTTTGAATTCGCTTACCAATCCTTTTCATTTGTTAACCAGTTCCGCAAGAAACAACTTATTTTTGCCAAATCCCCCATCCATGCGTGGGGTCTGATCGCGTTGGAACCGATCGCGGCCGAGGAAATGGTGATCGAATATGTTGGGCAGGTGGTGCGCAAATCAGTGGCTGAGCTGCGTGAACAACAATACGAAGCTAAGGGAATTGGAGGCTCTTATCTGTTCCGAATCGACGATGACTTCGTCATCGACGCTACCATGTGCGGGAACAATGCTCGGTTCATCAACCACAGCTGCCAGGTGAGCGGGCTTAGCTATTCCTTGGTCATATAGGTGCTTTGCATGTGTACGGTAGATGAGCACTATCTAGGAAACCTCCCATCGCTTTTTATGTGTTCGGTCCTTGCTGTTGTGGTGTGTGCGACGTGTTGGTTGGCGACTGAGAGTTGCGAGTCTAGCTCAGACATTTGCCATGGCACTATCAGGGTCTTTGAGTTATCAGTTCACGCTGTACCAGCCTTTGAACCTTCCTTTAGGACGACGGTTGACATCCAGTGACCGTATATTGAATTAATTTCTCTTGATTGTTCCTCCTAACTCCGTAGCCGTTCAATTAGTTTGAAATCACATCCATTTAATTCACCGTGGACTATACTGTGCCCGCATGCGTTTCCTTCGGAAAGACGTGTTAAAAAGATGCGTTAACTTCCCACGAAGTGACTGCGCTCACTGGCCACGCATCTGATACATGCACTGATATGCGCATTCGGGAGGTTAGGCCCCTCCATCTTCATCCAAATGCTCAATGCGTATGTGAGACTTCATGTAAAGTACGCGATCCAGACCTGGCTACCTTGGTTAAAACGCGCCCTGGTTGCACTGAAGCCTCAGCGAGGGGCAACCAAAATGTGAAGGGATTGTTCTGCGACTGAAAACCCTAGGTGTACAGTGGAAATTATCGCCGTCTACGGTGCGACCACATTCTAGCGTAGCAGATCTTGATGAGCATCGGTCATGCTTGCCGCCACCTCCTGAAACTAAGTAGAAACCCGAAATTGTGGTCACCAGCTGAAACTGATAACCCGATACAGTCGGCTGGAATATTTTTCACTTCGAATTTGTCAACTGTGGGACGCCCTTTCGACCTTTGTCATTCCTGCGCCTACGTTACCTATAAAAAGACGACTCGATAATACATTACACCACCTGCATTACTTGATTTGATTTCTGTCCATTGAATGGCATATGGCTGTCGCAATTACCATCGCAGAGAATTGCGAAATTTGACAGATCAAATTATCGCTGCCCTGGAGAGCAGAACTAATCATACTCGCTATGTCCAGTTGCTCTTTTAGTAGCTAAGTTCGCTCTGGATCTCATCCAAACAGTTGCCACAATTATATTCGCTTCGTAGAATAGTTACGACGCACTTCCTATGCTTTGTGACGTTAAAAGAATCATGTGTTTGTATCAGGTAACTGGTACGCCGCGTGAGCGATCAGCGTGTTCGAGGCCTTGTTTATAGCACAGGAAGAGGAAGTGAACCGCTAAGCACCGGTATTTCATGAACCAGGCTCCGGTGGCTGAGCCACGTGTTGCACATGCCAGCGCATCGACTCTCACGATGTTAGTTTTTTTGCGCGCCGGGGGTGTGGATGAAGGAAGTGGAGGCCAACGGTGATTTGGTCAAGCGGAATGAAGACCATTAGTTCGAATTTGGCCTCGGTTAGAGCCTCTAGGCTCCCTGGTTGTAACCCGAAAGACGATGAGAACATTAGGTTGGATACATTTGTTGTTATGGTTAGGATCCGATCTCAGTTGCGTTTGCGTCGTGAGTTTGTTTGTCCTTCTCTCGCTTAGTTTCTTCTTCCCTTTCTTATTCCTGAAACGTAACATGACTTTTTGCGGCACAACAGCCGGCTGCCAGCTTTCTGGAACGATATCCATCCGTTACTGATGACTCAGATGGCACGGCTATGTTGCGTTTCTTTATTTTTTTCTTATTGTGTATGGCAGCACAATGGCTGAGGTGTCCCTACCTCTAGCTAACGTGTATAATTAATGAATGAATGGCTTGCATACTCACGCTAATGTTTGTGACCCCCGATCGTCGTTGCCAACAGAGTATTCCACTCAATTCACCTGTACCTCGTGGGCAGCAGTGACTTCGTTTATTTATCATTTTTTGGCTTTTCTCTAGCCCAATTGCTACGCAAAGATTATCACTGTTGAAGGCAAGAAGAAAATAGTTATCTACTCAAAACGCGACATCAACGTGATGGAGGAGATCACCTACGACTACAAATTCCCGTACGAAGAAGAAAAAATACCTTGTCTTTGTGGCGCCTCCGGTTGTCGAGGCACTCTGAACTGAAGCTCCTCAGAAACGCACTCGGAGATGCCAAACAACTTGATTCGCCTTGTACGCCTTTGAACCACTGGCGCTTCTCTGTACATCCTTTCACTACCCCACTCTTTTGTTGTCTTTACAACGAAGTTTCTTACCGCCCGACTGTACCATCATCGAACCGGGCTATTCGAATGCACCAGTGCTTACGATTTTTATCACTACTCTCAGATTTCTGTAGGTCCATTTGAGGATGTCTGCCAACCACGTCTTGTAAAGATTTGCTATCATATTCAGCCCATATTTCTTCAATTTCTCGAACGAGTTATTGTGCCTTTTGTTCAGCAATCCTTGTTGTGAAATGGCTGTGTTTCTCCATCCTCCATCCGCACCAACCACTGATCTCGCTCACTTCCATGTAGAGAGAAAGGTGTTACATGCTCGCTCTTGCCCTCTTCCACCAGATAGTATAGTGTTTGCCTCATCGCGATCGCACTACACCCCCATCCTTGTTTTGTCTTTTTTAAATCGCATCACGGAGTAGAATCTGAGTTAGACAGCCGTTATGATTATCTCAACGCTGATCAACTATACATGCATATATGTACTATTTGTCTGTTTCTGGGGCAGAATGCATCGTTTAGGTTATCACTGTGATGAGCAAATGTCTTCAAATCTCGACATCAGCGTGCCGCAAACGCTGAACACTATGTAAGGAGCGAAACTCAGGAGCTCTCGTCAACTGCATTAGTTTCCACTTTCTCTTGCTGGTCATCGATTGTTTAGGGATGTGGTAACACTGTTCTTAGGGTGCACGCCATTTTAATCATTCTTCACAGCCAGAATAAATTTTGCGGAACCACTGATTCCACATCTTGGACATAATTTAGTTAGCAATAGTTTCGTGCTGGCGGTTTCGTCTATGTCGTTTATCTCGTTGAGAGCCGATCCAGTTGGGCTTATCGAGAATGAGATCAGTTTGTGCTTGATAAATGTTGGACCCTCCGATTCCAGAGTGTGTAGATCAGTCCAGAACAGTTTCTGGAACGGGCATTCATCGTATGGTATTTTCCTACCGCATTCAAGAGAGCAACCAGCTGTGAAGGAAGATACCCTGTCATGTATCAACCACATTTAGAGCAGACACATACAGACGACTGGCTTTTCTTGACTGGAAAGCCGCCTTATACTCGGTTAACTGCACCATCTTGTGACACTACCTATCCATAAATGGCATGTCAGCTAAATTCCTTTCCATCTGATTCCCTAGGCCGTGTAAGGGTCTATGGGAAACGGTCTCCTGAGTTCACCACAAGTGGGGCTCGCCGGGGTAATGTTATATCTCCCATCTTCAACCTTGTACTCGAAGTGACCATGAATCACGGTCCTTTAAGGATATATCGGCTGGAGTTTTACCAGGTGATCGACTGACAAAACTTGAGTGTGCGGACGACAATGCTCTCCTTGGGTTTAACGCAGTGGCTGTGCATACACTACTGAAGAGACTGACGCGTAGCGCTGCACACTTCGACATGTGTTTTGCACCTTCAAAGTGCTAGGTACTGTTGTAGGGATGGACCGACACCTCCAGTTTTAGCAATTACCGAACAGCCACAGGATTTACTGGATCGGTTCACATACCTTGGTAACTGTGTCACGTATAGTGGTCACATCACTTCGCGCATCAGCAAGGCCCGTGTGGCTTTCCAGAGGCTTGGCCATCTGTGACGGTGGAATATCAGCGTCAGTGAGATGTAGGGTGTATAACGCTACGATAATGCCGGCCTTACTGTGTGGATCAGAGACCTAGCCTGTTCGCAGTTAAAACATTAAACACGGCGGTTTGACCACTGGTGTTTACGGAGTATTGCCCACATCTGGTGTGAACATAGAGTGGGCAACGCAGATGTTCACCAGTTGGTTTTTTACAAGAAACCTTCTAATTAGTAATGAGTAGACGGATTTGGGTATCATTCGAGTTGGTTCATCGCAATTAGATTCCAAGCCGCATAGGTTAGCTACCAATCCGGGAAACCACCAGACGTGCGTTTCTCCCTATTGGGGCTCGTCAGTGGTGCGCATCCATCGGTCCCCTAATAGGGATAGAACCCATGACCGCTAGAGGCTAACGCCAACTAGCCAGCAGCTTATGCCACTGAGCCATGGGGGACGACAGTCGACCATTACGAATTGAAACCTAACTGCGATATAGCCCGATGGATGCGCACCACTGACGAGCCCCAGTAGGGTGAAACGCGCGTCTGGTGCTTTTCCGGATTGGTAGCTAACCTATGCGGCTTGGAATCTAATTGCGATGAACCAACTCGAAAGAAACCTTCTGGTTCCTCACTCGTTTTTTTTCTGAATCTTAATCGTTTACGTTGGTTAGGCCATGTCCTCCGTATGTCCGTTGAAGGTCTTGCTCGGCGTGCATTATACGCCGTGGCTGCACCAAGTTGGGCGAAACCTCGAAGTGGCCAGTCCATGACGTGGCATAGAAGCATGAATAAATTGACTGAGAGACTTGGTCAGGCCCCCACTCGGGATGGTCCACACCGATGGTTGGAGACCGTGTCATACATGGCGCAGTGTCGTTCCTTCAATCGGTTTCTTGCACCTGGTTGTTAATGTTCATTCCTCTCTGATTAGCACAACGCACTTCCTTCTTTCCTCCACTTTCTACCTTCTATTTGCATTCAACCCCGCTATCTTGCCATTGTCATTTATTGCGATCCCTATGGTGTGAGTCGTGGCAACTGGATCCACCGCACTTCGATGCTCGGATCATAGTTGTTCAACTGTACTGACCATGAATTGACAGTATGGTCGTTGTCCTTACCTGCATTGTGCAGCAAAGCAGCGATCCGACTCGTGCCACACTGTTCGCGTTGACAGCACCCTCATATGATGCAAAGAAGAAGTGACCACAGCCTGTCCATCATTATGAACAGCCAAGTAATGTCTCTATACTAGCTGACTCAAGCTAGAACATAAAACTTAACTATACTGTGACTCATATCTTCGACATTTAGTTGGATAATAGTTTGATCAGCAACGCTCCATTTAAAGCAGTTAACCCAACGGTCTAACGTCTGGAACAGAAACAACGGTGTTGTAGTTACTCTCGCCCCTTCTCAAAGTAAGCAGTTATAATATTTGACGCACAGCGTTTCACTTTTTCAAAGTTACTGATGATGTTGCTGATCGAAGTTGACCCACTGCTCATTCTGATACCAGCAAGAAAAAACTCGAAACACTTGCTTTATACATGCGCTTGGGTGGTTTCATCTTTGGCGGTCCGCATGCAAAAATGGTTCATCTTGACCTTTTGCGCCTTATTCATCTACTGGCAGATTATCAAACCTTAGGAGTTATGATCATTGCTACGCAGTCAATACATGCCTACGACATTATACATACCTTACTTGTTTATTTGGCACATAGTCAATGGTTGTACGATTAACAGTGCCATAACATATGGATAGAGGTGAAAGAGAAGAAATACCAAAAAATCGTAAAGTTGTAAAAATAAGAGTAAGGTCTCACGACATGTCCCCCATTAAGTGCGAGGACTTGCGGTGCCCGAGAGAGTTTCAAGCCAAGCGTGCTCGAGGTCCTTACGCCTCTGACTCGGGAGACGATAGCGCCCGACCACGTCCAACCTTGATGTTAATGTCTTCATAATTTGGGCCCAAGCCATTCGTGCTACACCTTTCTTCCTAGTCGACTTCTGCGCGCATGATGAGGCAAATGCCGAACTTGCATACATACAACTTTGTCCATGCCGAACTTACATAGATACTGCGATATAGCTTGATGCATACAACTTTGTACAGCTCCAGTTTGACTGTGGTTAACAGGTTATCTTGGATAAGGTCGTTCTGACTATTTCCTTTAGGTTTGAGGTTGTGCAAAATAGAATAATTGCGTGTTTCGAAATTACAGCAAGTGAGAAGATTTAACAATTTAGCGGAGAGTTAAGGTGTGATCGATACAACTCCGACCAGAGCGGAATCCAGCTTGCCCTTCGCGTATGTTCTGTTCGCGTACTAGGCTGAGCCTCCGTAAAAGCAGGATGACGAGCACTTCAGATGCAATGCAGATGAGACTAATCCCCTGTGATTAGCAAAGTGATCGGAAACCCATGTTGAAGACGGGTACGATATCCGCTAGACCAATCAGACGGGATTGCTTCAATGGCGCAGACCTTTTGGAGGAGGTAAGTTAACTCCCGAACAAGTGATGGACCTCCATCTTTGAAAACAGCCGAAGGGAGTTCGTTTGGGCCAGGGTCTTTTTAGTGCTTTAAAAGCGAAACTCGTGAGCTGCCTCAGATGATTGTGAAGCGTCTACAAACCAGGAAGCGCTCTGGATTCCTGATTGGAAACACATCGGTGCTGCTGTCCAGTTAAACTGCTGCTAAAAATGTTTGGCCCAAAGCTCAAGTCGACATTTTTGACAGTGAATTGGTTCGCCATTCTTTTCGCGTAAAATTTCTCTTCCGGTCGGCCTTCTGCCGCCAGTAAATGGGATCAAAAGGAAAAGTTTTCGGAAATTCCCCGGGATGTCCGCTTGCTTCATATCAATGATCCGTTGCTTCCACCGGGCCTCACGGTCCTCCCGGAGGAGCTGTTTGAGTTCATCATTATTGGTCCTGCGTAGTGCAAGTCAGTCAACACCAGCTGATTGCCTGACGAGCTTCGAGGGGTTGGCGAGACCGTGCAGATCCAGTGTTTAATAAGACTACTGGTGAAACTACAGACCAGGAATGCAGAGTTGTGCATGGTTCTGCAGATGTATGCCCAGTGCGTTCCAACATCAGAGCATGATGCGCTCTTGAGATTTGTTGCCCACGCGTCTTGAACGCGCTGAGAACGTTTGGGGCAGAAAGCTTAGCCACGTCAAGCCGTTTCCGGTGACGTCGTTAGGGGCCACCAAAACATAAAGCAATCTTGGTACACACGAGCGCGTGATCCGAAGTGAGATAAGTACTCCAGATTGATTTGCAATCTTTTATACAGCCCCGCCAGCGATAACTGATGACGTATTCAATCTGCGTCCATGGCAGGCCAGAAGCCCCCAGGTCGCGCGTTGGTGCCATGATCGCTTAAAGCTAGTACTCGGAAGGAAGAGGCCGTGATCGGCGCAGAGCTGTAGTAGGCGATCACTGTTGTCTGTTCTGCGATCGCCATGGCGATGTTGACTACCGAGTTTATGCTCTTCAATCTTAAGTCTACTGACCTGCAAGCGCCTCTATGTATCTACATCGTTTTTTTAGGTCAGATAGTTGACAGTAAAACTCATCTTTAACTGACTCCGGGCTAGTCTGTGGGAGCGTACGCTGCTACAACGAAAAAGCAACGTCTGTTGGTCTCATGACTGGAAAGTCGCACTGAGGTTTCAAGTCGGATCGCGCAGAGTCGAATGTTGACAGGGATCCATTCTAGTAGCGCGGCCTCAGTACATGTGCTCAATGCGATCCCCACACCAGCAAGACCAGCGGTTTCGGTGGTTGCGTCTCCAGATAAACGCAATGTAAAAATACCAGTGGAACGATTAAACTAGCAGTAGCGTCTTGCTAGAGTGAGGCAGCAGACATCGATGCCAGTAATCTCAAGCGTGCGAGCGAGAGCCGCTTTTGACCCGACCTGCATCAGCGT